AAGATCAGGTAACGGTAAATAGCTGGGTTCATCTCTTGGCTCTCTATTCTGTTCCATACATCTACCTCTCTGTTTTTGTGCCAGTACTGTGCTGTTTTGATCACAATGGATTTATAGTATAGTCTGATATCTGGTAGCATGATTCCTCCTGCTTTGTTTTTGTTTTTGTTTCTGAGTAATGTCTTGGATATTTGAGGTTTTTTCTTATTCCATATAAAATGAAGTATTATTTTTTCGAGATCTTTAAAGTATGACAATGGAACTTTAATAAGGATTGCGTTAAAATTATATATTGCTTTAGGTAGTATAGACATTTTAACAATGTTAATTTTTCCCAGCCATGAGCAAGGTATGTTTTTCCATTTGTTAACATTTTCAGCTATTTCTTTTCTTAGAGTTTCATAGTTCTCTTTATAGAGATCTTTCGTGTCCTTTGTTAGGTAAACTCCCAAGTATTTCATCTTCTTTGGCACTACTGTGAATGGAATAGAGTTCTTGCCTGTTTTTCAGCTTGACTATTGTTGGTATATAGAAAGGCTACTGACTTATGAGTGTTGATTTTGTAACCTGAGACACTGCTGTATTCCTTGATCACTTCTAAGAGTTTTGTAGAAGAGTCCCTGGTGTTTTCCAGGTATACAATCATGTCATCTGTGAAGAGTGAGAGTTTGATCTCTTCAGATCCTATGTGAATACCCTTGATTGCCTTTTCTCCCCTAATTTCTATGGATAAGACTTCCATTATGATGTTAAAGAGCAATGGGGACAATGGGCAACCTTGCCTGGTTCCTGATCTGAGTAAGAATGATTTCAATTTGATTCCATTCAATACCATATTGGCTGTGGGTTTGCTGTAGATGGCCTCTATCAATTTGAGAAAAGTCCCTTCTATGCCAATTCTCTTATGTGTTCTGATCATGAATTGATGCTGGATATTGTCAAAAGCTTTTTCTGCATCAGTTGAGAGGATCATATGGTGTTTGTTTTTTAATTTGTTTATGTGGTGTATTATGCGTATAGATTTATGTATGTTGAACCAGCCTTGAGATCCTGGAATAAAACCCACTTGGTCATGGTGTATAATTTGTTTGATGTGTTGCTGGATTCTGTTTGTTAGGATCTTGTTGAATATTTTTGCATCAATATTCATTAGAGATATTGGTCTATAATTTTCTTTTCTTGTTGGGTCTTTTCCTGGTTTGGGGATCAAGGTGATGTTAGCTTCATAGAATGTGTTGGGTAGTATTCCATCTTTTTCTATATTTTGCAAAAGGTTAAGTAGTATAGGTGTTAGCTCTTCTTTAAAAGTTTGGTAGAAATCTGACTTGAAGCCATCTGGTCCCAGGCTTTTCTTTTTACGGAGATTTTGTATAGTTGATGCTATTTCAGAGCTTGATATGGGCCTGTTCATCATTCTCACTTGGTTCTGACTAAGTCTTGGAAGGTGGTGTGCTTCCAAGTATTGGTCGAGTTCCTTCAGATTTTCATATTTCTGAGAATAAATTTTCTTGTAGTATTCATGGAGGATTTCTTGGATTTCTGAGGGGGGCTCTGTCTTGTTTTCAGCTGGTCTCTGTCTAATCCTAGTGAATCAATAACTCTGGGTTAAAGTCTCAGCTGTGGAGAAATACCAGCAACTAAGTCACCCTGCCCTCCATGGGCAACAACTGGAAAAGGAAAATCAAACCTCCTCATAACCACACACCCAGGGTACCATTTTGGATAGTCCACAGGTGATTGGCCCAGGTTAAGAGTTCCAAATCAATTGTCCCAGTCAGCACCCAGTCTCAAGTGGGAGAGGTCAAAAGGTCCTCAGCAAATAGAAAACAGAGGTCTGCTGGTAGTTTGAGTGTGGCTCACTCTAGTGCTCTGTAGAGTCAGAAGGACCCACCCAGCAAATGAATTAGTCTAGGAAGGTTGATGCCTTTTTTTCCCACCTTACATGTCTATCACACGCAGTCACTGGTAACCCCACAGGGCTGTGACCCAGTTCCCTCCAATGAGCAGATGCTCTAAGGATTTGCACCTGCCTGAGTCATAGGGAGATCTTTGTCTTCTTGGCCAGACTGCCGCACTCTGCCACCAGCCAGCAGGGGGAGCTGAAGCCTGACAACCTCAGGTACTTAATGGAAGCTGGGCAGTTCACTCAGTTCCAGCCCCAACCCAAAATGATGTTGCTGCCACTTATATTCTGGCAGAATTAGAGTTTCTATCCAGGCTATTTTCCCCTGTGGGCCAGGCTCTGTTTGAGTTCACAGAAACTATGGCTCAGCCCCACCATGTGTTGTTGCCATTCACCAATTCTCACGGAGCTGGCATCTCTGTCTTGGCTGCACTCTGTGTTGGGACAGGCACCATTAAAGCTCACATTCAGCTCTCAGTTCCTGCCTCTCCCTGGGCTGGTACTGGTACACAGCTTTCAGTGTCTGTTTCTCCCTGGGCTGGTGCTGTTGCCCTGCCTGCTTTTGTCTCAGGCATGCTCCCTGGGGGCTGGGTGCTTCTTAGGCTCACTAAAGCAGCATTTCTGACTCAGCCTCACCCTGGGAGTATGCTGTCTCTGCATGCACATATTCTAGTCTCCATTTGCACCACACCCTGCCCAGGCAGGCACCGCCTCAGGCATACCCTTTACTCATGGGGCCTGTGTTTCTGTCCCATATCTGTTTCACCAGTGGCTGCTACTGGGTTAGAGGCCTGGCTTTCTCTGGTTGCCAAGAGAGAGGTGGGGAGTGTGTCTCCAAAATATCCCCAAGGATGTGAGCCCTATTCTTCTCACTGCTGCTGCTGGTGCTCTGTGCCATGGGAAACTGCTTCTCCCTCTTTGTCTCAGTCCACTGTCTTCTTTTCACATCCTTGGCACAGAATCAGCACAGACCTTCAACAGCCCATGCATTGTCCACCTATTGAGAAAATGCCTAAGGATCTGGACTCCATGGGAGACAGGCTTCCAGACCATGGGGTGAGAGTAGAAGGGAGTGCTGGGAGTTCAGAATTATAGGTAGAGAATATATGCAGTTTTATGCTTGGCAGGAGAGTGCTATGGCACACTAATAGGTCCTCTCTGGCAAAGGAGTTCTGGTTTTTAGAGGGTTTCTCCATGGGATAAAATAGGAGGAGGTCTGAATTCTGTTCACTTGTTTGTATAGTGTATACTGCGAGCTGTTCTCATGGGGGAGGGGACTCCCATTCACTTGGCGATGGATTTTAAACCTATTGTTTGTTTCCTTGGGGTCATAGCTCACCTTAGCAGGGTTGATGTGCATTCTTCAACCTTCTCTTTTGACTCAGCTCCAAACCATCAACTTACTTGCTAAACTTCTGTCCTTTAACTCCCTTTTGGACTGGAGCCTCTGTGGAAAGCTGGCTCCAGTTGGCCATCTTGCCTCCGCCCCCCTAATTTTTCCATTTTTAGTGGAGATGGAGTCTCACTCTTGTTCAGACTGGTCCTAAACTCCTGAGCTCAAGAGATCCTCCCACCTCTACTTCCCAGAGCCCTGGAATTCACAGGGTTGAGCCACAGTGCCAGCTGAAGAGAGTTTTGATTATTACATGAGAATAAGAGAAGAGCTACAGCACCTGCCAAATTTCTGTCCAGAGCAACAGAAGATCCCCTTTGATGAATTGATTCAGAGACTTGAGAAACAAAAAGAAACATGGGTTTGATTACATCACAAATGCTCTTCAATACACAGCTCATGAGTGGAAAAGTATCTTGTCAGGCTAGAAAGACCTAGTCTAATGATGTCTGTGATTCTGAAAACTAACACAAAAAAGAGATATTCAGTTTTCTTGTTCATAGCAAAAGACCTACTGCATTTGACATTTTGTGTCCCTAAGTTAGTTCCAAGTGTCCCCAAACTTAGCTTCCAACTTTCATGCTAATAATGACATTAGGCATAGTTAGGTGACAATGTACCCATGGCAATGGAAGCCCACCAGTAGGCATCCAAGTCAGCTGCCGGCCTGATGCACCCCTATCCTCACCCCTGCTCTCACCCCCAACAAACCCTATTTATCAGGATTTCCAGAGGACAGAGACTATCCAGCTGTTGGAATCCAAGGTGCTTTGAGGAACACATTCTATTCTTGAAGTAGTGGGAAAAAATGAGTCAAATATTTGTATAATTCCATTTCAAGAATGCTCTTTTCCTTGAAATTTCCATTTAAATTAAAAGTGAATTTTCTTTCTGTTGGGGCCTTCAATGATCTACATCATTTCCACAACTTATGCATACCAAAAAGTGTGGCTGAAGAAAAAAAGAGTACATACATTACCAGCCAATGACTGTCAATCATATCCTGCTATGAAATTTCACAGTGATGGAAGACTTTACTTCTATGATTAGTGATCTGTATTTAATTGTTCTTTGATGAGAAGTTTGAAAAAAAAAAAAAAACCATTCAATTCCACCAAGTGCTTTCATGTTAATATAGAAAGATCTTTCAGTGTTTTTCCATTACTGTGATCTTCATGGAATTACTCATTAAAAACACAAAGGCCCACTAGTAGATGCTATTATCAATAGAAAAATGTCAGCACTGATATAATATAAGAATATAACATTAAAAAAGAAGTGTTGGCTTAAAACTGGCCTAGGTATACACAGAATCAACAAAAGAACAGAAGAACCTGAATTTATCTAAGACAGGAGAATAATATATGTTCCTGGGGCTTCTTCTAATAAACCATGTTATGAGAGTTTTTGTGTCACATTGTTGTGTCTGTTGATACCACTGCATCTTTGAAATGCTCAGACTAGAGTTAGCAGAGACAATGTGCTTGCCTCACCCTGACCTGGGGTTAAACAGAATTACCCAAGTACTCCAGTGCAGGTACCACTCATCAGCTACTTATCTAAATACTGACAAGTTGCCTATAAATGTGAGAAGAAGGCATTTATCATATTGGAAGGAAGCAGAAACCTTATCTGTCTGCGTTATCATTTTGCACCTGTCTTTTGCAGGCTCTGACCTCTTGGATTTTGTCTTTTTGTTTCCAGGGTTACAGTGACGGCAATGTGCAACATGGACTTCAGCCGCTTCCCCCTGGACACGCAAACTTGCTCCCTGGAGATTGAAAGCTGTGAGTAGGCTCCACCCAGGCACAAGCAGCTCCTCATCACCCTGACACAGCCCTCTAACTCTCAATGTGTGTTTCTCATGCTGTACCCAATGCGAGTGGAATTATAGAGAAAACGCCAGCACACTGAGTTCGGAATAGGTATGGGGTCCTTTATTGGCCGGCCAACCAACATAGGCTCACTAGAGCATTTTTTATATCCTTCTTTCAGTTGGGGGGGGATTGGAACTCCTAACACAAATCAGTTTCAGAAGCAAAAGGCAAGGTTAGATCTACAGGGCAGGGGGTCAGGAACAAAGAGAACTAAATGGTGTTTTACAAGGGCCTGCATCCTGGGCTAATCTGCCACATCTCCACAGGATGTGTTTATTTAACACTTCCCATTTCTGCAAGGCCTACTTGCCCAAGGACAGGTCTTGAGAAAGTGGGGGTTGTGGGATGAAAGAGTGCAAGATGGGATCAATCTGGCCTTCTCACTCATGCACCACTGCACTTTTAAAGTGATCTATACTGATCAGGAAAAAATTGGGAACTAAAATCTTTGATTCCCATAATTGACCTTCTTAGTGCCCTGGGGCAATGGTTTTAATCTTTGTCCTGTGGAAACTGGAGTTTTCATTTTTTAAAATTTAAAAAACATTTTTGAGACAGAGTCTCACTCTGTTGCCCAGGCTAGAAGTACCATGGCATCATAGCTCACAGCAACCTCAAAGTACTGAGCTCAAGCAAACCTCCTGCCTGTCTCCAGTAGCTGGAGCTACAGGGCGCCAGCCACAATGCCCAGATAGTTTTTTTCTATTTGTAGTAGAGATGAAGTCTCACTCTTGCTCAGGCTGGTCTCTAACTCCTGAGCTCAGGTAATCCACCCATCTCAGCCTCCCAGAGTTGTAGGATTACAGGTGAGAGCCACTGTGCCCTGCGATCCTGGAATTTCTAGAGTTTCCCAGAGCAGCTTCTTGGGAAGGAATAGGGGGCTGAATGAATATGGGTCTCCTTCCAAGCCCTCAGCCCAGAGTGCACGCACACATACCATCCAGAGAACCTGTTTTGGTCTGTTTTATTGCTTTTCTAAATATGTTTTCCACTGAAGAAAGGATTTCCTAGCAAAAGCAAAAGAGTTAGTTGGCAACAACTGCCCTGCTGCTGTGAACATACATGGTGGCAGGACTCTCAGGCCCTCTCAGGTACAGCCTAGGAGTCTGAGGAATACACATGGGGGTCCTGGGGAAGTTGAAGACCAGGCTCTGTGACATCGCAGGCACAGGCATCAAATGAAAAAAATAGACAAATTGGATTTTTTTTTAATTTCTTATAGCATAACTGTGTACATTAATGCAATCATGGGGTACAGTGTGCTGTTTTCGTATACATTTTGAAATACTCTCATCAAACTGGTTAACATAACCTTCACGTCATTTTCCTAGTTATTGAGTTAAGACATTCATACTCTGCTTTTAGAAAGATTCACTTGTACTCTTACAAGATAAACCATAGAGGTGACCCCACCAACCACCCTCCCTCCCCCCTTTCACCCCCTCACCTTGTCTCTCCCACCCCCTTCCCATATTCTAAGGCTATAATTAGGTTATGACATTCCTATAAAAGCTATGAATTAGTTTCAAAATAGGGCTGTGTACATTGGATACTTTTTCTTCCATTATTGAGATACTTTGCTAAGAAGAACATTTTCCAATTCCATCTATATAAACACGAAGGAGGTAAAGTCTCCATCCTTCTTTAGGGCTGCATAGTATTCCATGGTGTACATGTACCACTATTTATTGATCCATAAATAGTTGATGGGCATTTGGGCTTTTGGGTGGGCATTTGGGCTTCTTCCATAACCTAGCAATTATGAATTGGGCTGCAATAAACATTCTGATACAAATATCCTTGTTGTAATTTGATTTTTAGTCTTCTGGATATATACCTAATAAAGGAATTGCAGGATCGAATGGCAGGTCTATTTTTAGTTCTCTCAGTGTTCTCCAGATGTCTTTCCAAAAGGAAT